CCCGGGACCGTCGTTTGCTGATGCAAGGTCCAGCACACCATCAAGGCAGCCGCAACCTCGCCGGATACAAACAAGCATGGGTACATGAATTGATTTATCTATTGTCACGCTGAGTTCTGCCTGATTTCTAATCATCGTGCTATCTTTCTCGCAGTCGGCGTCACATAGTGGCCAGGCTTGCTCGGACTTCCAGGCATGGTGTATGGCCCACAAGGGCAAGGCGACGTCCGACGTCTCCTTCAACCTGGAGGACCCGCCTGAGGCATGCACGAACCCGAGCGTCCACTCCCGCATCAGTGAGTACACTGAGGTGGCGAGGTCGCTCCATGGGTCAGACCACGATCCGAGCACCTAGGACTTTGATGGAGAGGCCGTCATGAGGGCAGGGCAAGGTAAGAAGCATGGGCGGTTCTAGCTTGGCGACGGCGTCATCGACACAGCCTCTACTCCCTCTCTCTCCCAGATCCGAGCACGGAGCATGAGTGAGAGCCCGGCCATTCGCACACGGCCGACCGTTGCACAGCACCGGGTCGACGCACTTGAGGTTATTCCCTGTTTTACTCGTCATACATTGATCTTTACACACCTTAATTAGCTTTGCATTACTGAAACATTGGAGTGAAATATTGCAAGCCCGGCTGGAACAAGAAATGAAGGAACGTCATGAGCTAGGGGCCCAGCTGGAGGCCGAGCGGCAGGCCCAGGCGCAGAGGCTGATGGACATTATGGATTTCCTACAAGGGCTTGGGCAACGTATGGGCTTATCTCTGCCACATGGGCTGTTGGTTCTACCTCCGCCTCCAGCGTCCTACAGCGCAGCCTACTCCTCGTGAGTATCAAAGTTTTTTACTTTCGCTTGTGCTTTGCTTGTATGGCCTCTATCGTCCTAGATTAGCTATCAAAATAATCTTGTCTCACATGCAATCTTTTCTCCTTTGTGCAGTCTCCATCTGACGGTGGTTCGAATAATCCACCTCATGTACCTACGAATGATGCATCTGGGCCTTCATCATAGTCGCAGTGGCCGAGATGAGTGCATGTTGCATTTTTTACATTTGTTGTTCACTAGGTGATGGACTTGTGATATACTTGTGATGCACTTGTGGACTTTGATGGACTTGTGAACTTTGATGGACTTGTGGACTTATTTGGATGGACTTGAGCACTTATTATTATATATTGTGATGGATGTGATATGGGCGGATGGATGTGTGGATGGATGAGATATATATGCGATGGATGAGATATATATGCGATATATGTTTGTATGAATGTATTTGTCATGATGGAATGCAAAAAAAATTGCCGTTTTAGGTCACTTTGCCGAGTGTTGCACTTTGCAAGGACCCCTTGTCGACTCCGGAAAAATGGGCGATCGAAAAGAGATTTTCCAATTTTGTTTAGTGTCGTGTCAATTCATGACACTGAAAGAAATTAAAAAATTAAACTTTGCCGAACACTCGGCCGAGTGCCACCCATAAAGCACTCGGCAAAAATTTAAAAAAAAAAATCTTTGCCGAGTGCCTTCCGGGTTGACACTCGGCAAAGAAATTTTTTAAAAAAATGAAAAACTTTGTCGTGTGCCCGATGAGTTGGTACTTTCGCAAAAATTTTTTAAAAAAATAAAACACTTTGACGCATGATGGTTGGCACTCGACAAAGAATTTTTTTAAAAAATTAAAGCTCTTTTGCAAAGTGCCTTGATGGCACTTTCGACAAAGAAAATTTAAAAATAAATAAATAAATCTTTGCCGAAAGTGCTCGACGGGTTGGCACTTTCAAAGAATTTTTTTAAAAAAATAAAAATCTTTGACGAGTGCCTCATGGGTTGACACTCGGCAAAGAAATTTAAAAAAAAATAAAAAAAATCTTTGCCGAATGCCTGCAGGGTTGGTGAAAGCTCTAGATTGGTTTTGGTTAATTGATGAAACCCTAAGTGCTAACCTAGTTTATCAAGATGATTATGAGATAGGTAGCACTACTCCAAGTGATGAAGCAATGACGAAGATCATGATAATGGTGATAGCATGGTGATGATCAAATGCTTGAACTTGGAAAAGAAAAAGAAAAAACAAAAGGCTCAAGGCAAAGGTATAAAATGTAGGAGCCATTTTGTTTTAGCACTTAGTGAGTGTGATCACATTTAGGATAGATAGCCGTATTTATTAAGAGGAGTGTAACTCGTGTCGAAATGCGGTTATCAAAATGACTAGATGCTCTAACTCATTGCATATGCATTTAGGATCTAGTGGAGTGCTAACACCCTTGAAAATATTTGTGAAAATATGCTAACACATGTGCACAAGGTGTTTGCGGTTGAGATGGGTTTGGGTCCTCTCTCCCTCCCGCCGAAGCTTATGAGATTTTTTTGGAAAAATGAAATGTCTATTTTCTATTGCCGGATGCAAAATTCTTGGTGGTTGCACACTTGAGCAAAGAGTAAGAGTTGAAATGGAGTTGATCGAAATGTTGTTCGGTCTGTGGACCGGACGCGAATCAATCTGAATCAAGCACCGGACGCCGATCGCTGCGTCCGTCATAGTACTTCTTCGCGATTGGACTTTCACGTCCGATCAAGGTGGACAGGACGCGTCCGGCGAAAAAAAATTAAAAATCAAAGCACCGAAATAAATCTTCAAGGAAGGAGCAACGTCGATCGAGGCGATGACCGTTGAGTCTGGACACGTGGGCGTGCCTCAGTCCCCGGTCGAACGCGCTTTGCCCAAAGAAGGGGTACAACGGCTCTATTTGATGGGGGCTCTATTTATAGCCCCATGGCCGCCTCAAGGAAGCTCTCTTGCACATTTTCATTGACATAGCAACCTTGTGAGCTTAGCCAAAGCCCTCCCACTCATCTCCATCATTGATCCATCATCATTGTGAGATTGGGAGAATCCAAGTGCATTGCTTGAGTGATTGCATCTAGTGGCACTTGGTATTCATTATTGTGGATTTCGCTTGTTTCTCTTGGTGGTTGCCACCACCTAGACGGTTGGAGCAGCGGTGAAGGATCGGCACGAGTTGGTGATTGTTCGTGGCAGCCGGTGATTGTGAGGGGAGTTGTACCTTCCCGGCGGAGTGCCGAAGGTAACTCTAGTAAATTGCTCGTGTCATTGAGTTACCTCACGTGTGGGTCGGTTCTTGCGGTGTCCTATCGTGTGGACGAGGTTTGTGAAACACCTCTTAGCCGCCCGAACCACCTAGTGTTGGTCGACACAACGGGACGAAGCGGTTGTTGGCAAACGTGAACCTCGGGAGAAAATCGATTGTCTCTCTTCTTTGTCATTCTCCCGGTGATTGGCTATATATTCATCTTGTGATTGGTTCATCCCCTACACGTTGGTATAATCACTCTACTCGCTCATTTACATTCTTGCAAACTAGTTAATACAAGCTCTTTAGTGTAATTAGAATTGAGAGCTTGCTTTATTATTTACATTCATCTAGTTGAGCTCTTTAGAGTAGCAAGGTTGAGAGCTCTTAGTGAGTAATTACATAGCTAGTTTGTGTGCCTAAGTATTCATTGCAACTAGAATTATTGGATAGGTGGCTTGCAACCCTTGTAGAGCTAGAGCAAGTTTGCATTACGCTATTTGTCATACTAATCAAATTGCTCTAGTTGATTTGTAGATTTTTTAATAGGCTATTCACCCCCCCTCTAGCCATATTAGGACCTTTCAGTTGGCACTCGGCAAAGTGACCGTCAACGGAACCGCCGCCGTGCCGGTCGCTTTTCTTTGCCGAGTGTCCCCAGGGCACTTGGCAAAAAGAGGGCTTTGCCGATCAGATTTTTGTCGTGTGGTCTTTGCTGAGTGCCGCACTCGACAAAGGCTTTGCCGAGTGCCTCAGGCACTCGGCAAATAACCTGAATTCAGTAGTGATTGTACCTAGAATCTTTATTGAAAATACAAAAGGGTCCTACTAGTACGACATGTACCACATTATTATTGGAAAATAGTTGTGTAACTGTGTGTATTGCTATTTTTGGAAAATAAATTGTGTTGAGTGCATCTCGTCGTACATTTAAATAATGCATCGGTAGAAAATAAAATTTTGTTTTTGCACTTTGTTCATGCTAGCAAATATGCCCTTGCATTGCACGAACAGAATAGATTTTGATATTAGACAACATATCACCATTAAACTTAAGTTGTTCTAACTGGTATGAGTATGGACCATGAATCTTGGTCACATACATGACACTGAGGGCACAAGGATACTTTGAAAGTAAAAAGAGTGGGACCGAAGAAATCGCATGATTCGGGTCATTGACTTGAAGTACCAAAAAGTAACAGTACTGTAGACACAAGGGGCATTTTGAAAATAAAAAAAGTGGATTGAAAGAAACGCCTCGCTCTTTAATATTAGGTAGAGAATAAAGTAGCAAATATGCACGCGCATCGCAACGGAAGGAAATAAGCTATCAATTATTCATGAAAAACAAGAACATGAATGTTACATATCTATTTCTGTTTATCCTACTATAAAATTATTAAATTGTAATTTATTAATTTTTCGATGATCATGTCATAATATATGTAAAAATTGTCAATAATATTACAATATTCTACTAAGTCTATATCAAATTAAATACAACTTTGGAAGATTTATGCCATACTAAGAACAAAAATAGTTACCGTAAATATCATAGCTTTAATTTTGATACTATCCATGTGTTCTTAAAGTTAAATATTGAGCTATGTGATTTTCTTTGAGCACCAATAAAAATATCTAATTATAATATTTGATTTGAGTCAACAAAGAATTACTAGTTGCTAATATGTGTCAAATGGTCGCCTATTCATTGCAGATTACGACGGAAGACCGTAAGAGATGGAGTAATCAGATTGCAGTGGGCTGAAAATTAATTAATTAAAGAAGATAATTAGCCCAAAAGCCCAAATAAAAACAAGCTTAGAAGCCAGGCGTGGGACAAACTCACAACCACGACGCCCCGATCGGCCGCCGCGCCTTCACCTGCGCCGAGCGCCGCCATCGCCATGGGGATGGGGGTGCTCACCAGAGCGAAGAAGAGGAGGCTGGAAGAGCGCCTCGCCGACCGGATCAGCAGCCTCCCCGACGGCGTTCTCGGCGACATCGTCTCTCTTCTCCCCACCAAAGACGGCGCCCGCACGCAGGTGCTCTCCTCCCGCTGGCGCCACCTATGGCGCTCCGCTCCTCTCAACCTAGAGGCCTGCGTCGATCCAGCTGTCCATGACGTCCCTGCAGGCAGGGAGATCTCCCGCATCCTCTCCTCGCACCCGGGCCCCGCCCGCCGCTTCTCCGTCTCTTACGGCGACCACCACTCCGTCTTCCGCGCGAACCTGGGCGGCTGGCTCCGGTCCCCCGCCCTCGACAAGCTGCAGGAGCTCCAGCTCGACCACGTTAATTGGGTTCCAGAATCAGCAGTGCAGGGCATCTCGTCCACCCTTCGTGTCGCCACCTTCAGCCGCTGCAATTTCCTGTATGCAAAAAATGCCAGTGCGCTTCACTTGCCGCTTCTCAAGCAGCTGAGCCTTGTGAATATCCTCATCTCGGAGAGCTACCTCTGTGCCTTGCTCGCCGCCTGCCCTGCCCTGCAGAGCTTGCTGCTGCGCTGTAACTTTGGTAACTTCCCCCGAACGCAGATCGTGTCGCGTAGCCTCATAAGCATCGGTGTGCATTCTGGCTGGACAAACTTTAATAAGGTACATCAGCTCGTCATTGAGGATGCCCCATGTCTAGAAAGATTGTTATTGTTTGGAGGAAATAAGATCGACGTGTTGGTAATCTCTGCGCCAAGATTGCATATTTTGGGGAAACTCCGTAATTATAATTTTCCCAGGTTTCACTCTGGCACTTCAACTGTTCAGGTATGGGCATCATGCATTCTCACCTCCATTTGCCCACTACATGCATGATACATGTGTTAATTCTAAACATGCTTTAAATTAAACTCAGGGATCAAACATTATTGCTAGCATGACGGCGGTGGTGAGCAGTGTGAAGGTTCTAGCATTATCTAATGTGAAACTCTGTCCGAATATGGTTCTTAACTTAATGAAGTGCTTTCCCCATTTGGAGAAGTTGTACATCCAGGTGACATTTGTACCAGAGTGTGCACGTGCATTCTTCTTCATTTACTCCTATAACATCGATGATTGCTCTAAATATAACTTATGTTCACTTTTGTTTTTCAGATAAAACGTCTTGAGGTGGAAAATTGGTTTAGATACCAGGAAAACATTGGCGCCCTAGACATCCGTCTAAGGAAAATTGTGCTAGCAAACTATCAAGGCTACAAGTCACAGGTTAAGTTGGCCAAATTCTTTATATCAAATGCAAGAGTGCTGGAGTTAATGAGGTTTGAGTTAGTATTTGCAAGCGTTAGCTACAAATGGATTGAAAGGCAACATAGTCTGCTCGAGGTCGAAAAGAGGGCTTCGATGGGTGCACAATTGGATTTTGTATCTGGAAACATCTTGATTGGGTCATGCAGCCGAGATGCAGTACATGATTTGTCAATAACGGACCCCTTCCAAAGGATTCATCAGTACGTCTGATCACACAAATGAAAGATATTTTATTTCAGGTAGGAATATCTAGCATGGTTTAATTTAGTCAGTTTGACATTTCATATCTCGCTTCCTGGAACACTGTAATTTGCCAACTGATTTGATGCTATATTTTGTTTAATAAATGGAGAAGAGCCCTTGAGATATCCATTGTTATTTTCCACCATGTTGTCAATGTAATGATTGCAATTTTCATATATCCCCATCTAATCATAAATACAGTCTAAACCATTCAGTTTTCTCAAAAAAGAGATTGTTGTTACTCGTTACCTACTGTTTGGTTATTTGATTAGTAGCCATATGCCCATATCTTGTTGGCCGTCTGCTGTGGAAGTGTTCATGGTAATAAACATAAGTTCATTGGGAGTGAAAAATTGATTCCATAACCAGGTAAACATAACTTTTAATGTTGTATATTTTTTTTGCAGCACTTGTAGCAGCCTCTATAATTAGAAACCAAGAGCCAGTGCCGTAAGTGCTTGAAAAACATGGGAAAAATTCTCACTGCCCCTGATAAAATCCAAAATCCTTTCAATCCCACTAAGAGGCCAATGCATGTCATTTACTTACTGAAGGCATTTAAGGGATTGCAAAAGTTTTCAATAGCACAAAAGAAATTGACCCACAAACTTGAGGTGCTCCTAGGAAGACTTCTCATTTAAGTTTAGATTGGCTTCGAGGAATGGAAAATAGAATGAAATCTTGGCAGGAAAGCTACTATTTAACATCAATGAAATTAGTGCTAGACTTCATTTCTTGAGCTTTAGGGGTTCTGTGTTTCGCTTGATTGCTAATCTCCAATTGTTCTTAAAATCACGTCATTGGTGACAAGCTTTATTGGGCTTGTCTGTAAGCAGGTAAGACCTTAATGTCTACTGCTTAACCTCAATTTGCAATGCAAGTGAAGAATGGATGTGGTCCTTTCGTTATAAGAAGCAAATGAGTATTTGAATTCGAGACACTAGAAACCGCTGAGTTGTTCTACCTAATTTTACTCATGGATCAACATCTTTTGGCTTCAAATTTGGTGCATATATGCTGACCATCCATTCAGGTGCACCTTATGCATGGCAAATTGGAAATTGTCCATTTTCAGTTGTGTTTTTTCAACAATGTTCATAATTCAGAGCTTGCTCTTGGGGAATCTTCTTTGAGGTTACAAATATACTTGAACTACGTGTCTTGCTTGGGCGTTGACCCAGTTGTACATTTGCTGTTGGATCTCAGTCAACTGGCCATTGCCATACATCCAGTGAAAAGATGAAGGGCGAGTTTGTTATGTCATGTTTGCAATGTGTTATGTAGAAGAGCTGGGAAGTTTTAGGATAAATTGCTCGCCCGACAGCCTAGAAGTAAAAGATCATTAGAGGTTGCAGCCTTGGGTTCATAGATGGCCATTCTCATTATATTATATACTCCCTCCATTTCAAATTTTAAGTTGTTCTAGCTTTTCTAAATACATACCTTTTATGACGTATCTAGACAATGTATATCTAGGTGCATAGCAAACGCTACGTATCTAAAATAGCTTGAACGACTTACAATTTGGAACGATAGATCTCGGGGCAAGAGAAGGCGTGAGGAGGTGGTGGATCTTAACAAGGAGGCTATGTATCTCTTAGTGCAAGGACCTCTCCTGCATGAGCATGACCGCCGAGTGAGCCCTTCCCTTCCCTCTACTCTCTCAACCTCAAGACCATCGGTGCTCAAAACCTTGCTCTCTCTATCTCTCTAGCTCCCTCCCACTTCACAGGCTTCATAGGCGTTGCGACGACATGGACAAAGAGGTCCTTGTGGAGGTGGGGAGACATGGTGGCATGGACTTAGAAGTCTACGTGGAGGCAGGGACGCAAGACGGCATGGCGGTGACCAGATTGACACCACGATGATGCCCTAGTGACCTAGATAAAGGTCCAAACCGACCTGGTTGGATGCACTAGGCTAGCTTTCTATTTTATTTTTTTATTAACAGAGGCAGATATGGAGCACCACCTTTGGAAACATCCATTTACATAGGTGCTGATTCAGAGGCAGGTGGGGTGCCTGCCTCTGTTAACTATTACTGTACTAGTGTATATGTAGATGTGTGGCAGTGTTGTGCTGGTGAAGCTAGGGCTCTGCAAAGTTTTGTGTGGTTACTAGGACTCAAATGAAAATGGAATACAAGTGAGGGTGGGGGCCCCACCTTCCACCTGTGCTGCCAGTTTTGGATTCAGTATGGTGTTTGTTCAAGTAACTTGTGTACATGGTATTCTTCTCTTAGAGTAAAGTCAACTACGCTCCCTAAACTTGTGTCGCTATGTTATCCCAGTCCCTACCTTTCGAAACACACATCTAAGTACCTAAACAATGTTCGTGTCATAAGGTAGTCCTATTGGGTCCCCATGTAGTCCGAGAACTTTAGTTGTATCGATTCGGTCTGGAACTATCAAACTGACACATCTGGCTTGTCGTCATCGCTGTTGTCGACCACTCTGCTCAAGGGGATGGGGCAGTGTGCATCTCATGTGCAACCCCTGATCTGTGTGGTTGCCTATGTTGATTTGGGTTTGTGTATACTTCATAGGTTTTTTTTGTCATCAATTTCATCTACACATTTCCCCAGACCCCACTCATGTGGGAGCCTCTGGCACTGGGTCTGCCCTTTTTTTAATTTCATCTACACATAGAGCTGTTGTTTCCTTTAGTTGTTGTTGGAATTTGACAAATATTGCCTTGTACAAATCATGGGCTTGTTCTTCCATGTAGTACTTTGACCATAGCTCTTTCCTGTTTCTGTTTCTTGTGTGGTAGTCCATCCTGTATTCTCTGTTTTGTATTGTGTCTGAAATTCGATGGAACTCATTTATGAATCTCATCAAACTATATTGTGGTCCAACCCCTCTTTTGAACACACCATTTATCCCTTCACTTCTCCCTGTACTCTGTATGAATGGGAAGAAATTGTTCTTGAAATACACTGGGATGAATCTCTTCCTCTTCTCCCATATTTCATTTAGATGTTTGATGTGATGAAGTTCAAAATCTGTCATCATCTTCTGCCACAAATGCTCAAACTCTGCTTCCATTAATGAATTGTCTAATATGTCCCTCATCTCTTCATATGAACCCTCGATCACCATTTTTTCTTCCAGTGTTTTCTTCACATGAAACCAAAAGTTTCTGTGTGTTGTTCCTGGAATCATCAAACCTATTGCCTTCCTCATTGCACCATCCTGGGAATTGACCAAACACCCAGCTGAATGTGTCAGCTGTTTCATCTCCAAGGAAAGCACAAGCAAAAATATAGGTATTTGCATATGCTGAAACACCAACTAATAGAGCAAAAGGTACATTATATTTGTTAGTTAGGAATGTTGTGTCGAAACTTATGCAATCTCCATATGTTGTGTAATACTCTCTTGCTTCTGCATCTGCCCAAAGGATGTTCCTGATTTTGTAATCATTGTCCATGTCTACAGAATAGTAAAACCCAGGACTCTGTGCTTGTTGGTCACTGAAGTACTGAAGCATTTGAGTCATATCATTCATAGTATGCTCCCTGCCCACCTTGTAACTATAATTTTCCACATCCTTGTCATCATAAGAGAGGTTTGCTCGACCTCCTCTCATATATGATAGAATTGCAACCATATTCCTAGTAGGAGTATTCACTTTCTTTAGAGTCCTTATCATATTTTTCTCTTCAGTGTGCGTTCTGAAAAACTTTGTTTCTGAATGAGGTCCTAGTGGATGGTTGTGATCGAGTGGTAGATGATATTTTCCAAACACCATTGTCTTCCTTAACTATAACTGTGCATTTACATCTTGTTTTTGCAATCACACTAGTCTGCCTTTCCTGAACAATTGAGTACTCTATTTCTTGATCCTTTTCAGCTATCTTTCCTCACTTCAAGGCAATTTTTGTTATTTCATTGTTCCTCTTCTTGTTTATTGTCCGATAAGTGCTAGCAATAACCATAGAGAATCCTGACATATAAGCATACTCATTGCAGAAATGTTTTGCCTCATCTGAGCAATTGAATTGCATACCAACTTCAGGAATATACTTGCTGTTTATTGGTTCTGGTAGTCCTTGGTCATCTATAGAATTTTCATTTTCTAAGAATATTTCTATATCTTCTGATAATTCATTGCTCCTGTACAGTATGTCTACTTCTTGTGTTTTTGTCTGGTCTTGGTCTTGATTGCTCACTTGTGTTTCTTCATTTATATGACGTTCTTATCTGTTGTCCGTGTCTTCATTTTTCATCACCTGTGTACATTAATAAAAGAGTTAATATCTATGTGTCAACATTTTTGGTTGGACGTCCCTGTTTCAGATGGGTTTCTTACTGTATCCAAGTTCATTGTGTCGAATACACACTCTGGTCCCAGGGATTAATTTATTTGTGATATGTGTTCATGTACCTACAAAGGTAGTACCTTTAAGTAATGTTTGATCATTATATTAATAGCATTTATTACCTCAAGGTCTTCAGTAGTAGTACATATCTGAGCTGCTTCTGCATCATCAGTATTAGTTACCTGGGCCTTGTTTAGATTCCAAGTTTTTTCACTCTCTCTCTGTCACATCAAATCGTTGGACACATGCATAGAGTATTAAATGTAGATAAAAAATAATTAATTACACAGTTTGATTGTAAATTACGAGACGAATCTTTTGAGCCTAGTTAGGCCATGATTGGACAATAATTGTCAAATACAAACGAAAATGCTACAGTGTCAAATACTGATTCCTAACCACGAACTAAACAATGGAGAGCTAATTCCTTCGTTGCCACTGGAATTTATGTGAATTGAAGTTTCTAAAATTTCCTTAACTGCCACTATATTGAATTTGCATTTTCCGTTAAGATCTGTTAACTTGCCCTTAAGTTACCATTCGCCGTCTTGATCGTCCTGGAGCGCACGCCGCGCAGGGTAAGGCTCCGGCCCTGGTACCTAGCTACTGCTCTGCCTCGGCTCCTCAGTTCGCACCGCGGCAGCCGAGCTAGCGGAAGAACAGGACGGGATGGGCGTCGGGCGGGCCAAGCACATGCGCATGGCTGCTCCCTGCAGGCTGCATCCTTCGCGCGTGCTGCTCGCCCGGTGCGGCCGCGAGCGCATCCTGCTGGTGGAGGCTCAAGCCACCACGCACGGCCTGTAATGCCTGCTGGGCTTCTTCTCCATCGCCTTGCCAAGTTAGTTAGCTTTTGCACATTTGCACGAATGTAATAAGCCTTACGCATGCGTTTCGTTCATACGGAGGCAGGCACGTCCGAGTCCTGCGTGGCTCTTGCGTGATCACTTCACTTGTGGAGTTGTGGTTGTGGCGCTCGTGCCGCGCGCATATAGGTGATTAGATGTTTGTTTGTTTCGTTAAAATAGCTGATCATCAGTACCATTTAATACACAAGAAAAATGCTGCCGGTCATTGCAGCACCAAAACATCGAGTCTCATCCCATTGTGAGGCCATTGATGATGGTCATCCCGACAGTCTTGACGGACCTGCCGCCCTGCTCCAACACACGGAGGAGGCTGAGGAACACACGAGCCCGCAGCATGAACGCGACGGAGCCTGCGTCGCTCGTCACACGGAGGATGGTGTGACGATATCTGAAAATGTTATCTATTTTTGAGTCCGCTTCACTTTTTGCCAGCCTCTGTTAATCAGGACGCTTGTCTTCTAAAATCTTTTTTGTGGTAGTGGGAAATGAGGGAGAGAGAGAGAGAGAGAGAGTGGTGCCTAGAATAGGGGTAGAGATGGATGAGTATACCACGTGCAAACATTCTAATCCGTTGGGCGTCGCACGGATCAGAGGGGGCGGAGCAAAGGTGTGGACGACCTCTTTTGTTTTTATTAGTAGTGTAGAGAAACTATGCAAAGTTCCGTGCTTGCTCCAATACGTTTTGCCTCTCCCACGTTACACTCCTCTCTCCCACTTTTGTTTTAGTTACCTCCTCTCTCCCTCTAGTTTTCCTCCCCATCCAAATTTTGTCCCATCTCAATTATTTCTGTAAACCAAAAACCCCGTGATATTCTCACTTCCTTAGCCTAGAGATGGCAAGCATATTGTTTCCTTGATTTATTTCTTCTTGGATTCTTTCCTTTCAGCATTGTTCCTAGTTTTCCTCCACACATCATTAACGTGATACTAATGATCCATCCCAAAGTCATAAAGCGTGGTTGATTGCTTTTTAGAGATTAGAAACTTAGTGAGTACACAAGGTTTCCTATCCATTCCTCTTCATTTCACCCCTCTCATTTCGCTCCATCAACAAGCTCCTCCACAATTATCCATTTGCTCGTCCTAGAGTAAAGTTTTAGGGCTAAGGTAAAGATCATGACCTTATTTATATGAAGCTAGCATATAAGTTATTCGACGACATACCTAAAGATGTGAACTTTTTATAGTGTCTAGCCTTTTCAACTCCTCAAATGGTTCTCTCGAATCGCTCAAAGGTGTATCACCCCTTACCAAGGCATATTTGTATTGCCTCTTCTTGATCCTACCATCTAAAAGGTTGTGGAGTTCAAGGTATGGAATCATGAGGCGTACTTGCATCACATGTTTTGCAAAGTAAAAAAAAAACAGATTCTGTTGGAGAAAAACTAGTCATACAATCAAATCTAGATGTACAAGTGTGTGGATAAGTGGGTGGTGCATGAAGACTATATGAAATACTTCTTTTTGGGTATGATCTTCCCCTCTTTTTATTTTGGAGAGAGTGGCCATCTTTTCTCATTCTTTCTTCTCTTTTTTTTTAATGCTGAAAGGAATGGTTTTCCTTGTTTTGATTGGAGCATGTTACTTTAACCTATTTTGCATAGCTTATGCCTTTCTCCCTTTTGAATACATATTTGGAGGGTAATCAACTGGCATCATGGGGTATTTTATTTATTGAATGTATAGTAGATGGACGGATGGCATGTTTTGCTTACTTTCAGTGTAGAAGTGTAGCTTATGTTTGGTGGAGTATTCATGATCTCAATTTTAAAAACAAGAAAAGAATCTAGCAAGGGTCACAACAATTGGACAAAGCTCAATGCAGAAACAAGTAGCATATGTAGGGGTTTATAGCATGCAGATCACATGGCTTTGGTATGTGGTTTCTCACCATCGAGGAGTTGTCTAACTATATATTTGTTTTTAAGCTTTTCAAATTAAAATCCCCAAGTGCTTACTTAGAAATGAATTAGCCTTCTCTTGTGTTTTTTTTTTTGAACTGCTCTTATCATGTCATATCTCGAGACTCAACAACTTAGATGTCATGATTTTCCTAGTGAATGTGTTCATAAGCAACGGGCAAATATGCTAGGAATAAACAATATGCAGGCCAATAATGTAAGTTCATGTTTCAAGAGAGCAGGGGAGTTGTCTTTGTTTATAAAGGAGCTCAAATTTTAAGATTGTTTAAATCTGAACAGTTTTGAGCTCGGGATTTAGGGAGATTATTAAGCAAGAGTGAGCACTGATCATCACGTCTTCAACGCAGTTGCCATGGATCTGGCTCTGGCCTTGCTATATTTAATTCTTGTAATGATGTTCTACTTTGCCATGTAAAATTACATGCCACATGACCTAGAAATTACATGTTACAATTGAATTCTACTGGATAGGTTGACATAGATTAATGTTTACTTTGCCTACATGACCTAGAAATTGCATGGCACATGGTATATTTAATTCTTGTAACAATGTGCTACATTGCCAAGTAAAATTTCCCTGATTACATTATCAGTCCTTTCAAGAGGGAGCAACAATCCTTCAAGGATGGTGGAGGAGTGGAGTCACTTTATGTTTCCTATGATAATGATATTAGAGATGTCTGAGCACTCTGCTAAACATGCTTTAATGAAGTATATAGAGGTGAGACTGTAGGACAGACGGTAGTGAAGGTGAGAATAATTCCTATTGCTTAGTAAGCTTATAACAATGTTTCCATTTACAATTAATTTATAGTCTCTAGATAAACTCATTAACTAACGCCCTGTTCGCTTGGGCTTGTTTGGCTTATAAGCCGTACTTTTTCAGCCAACTAACAGTATTTTTCTCTCACATCAAATCAGCTAACAGTACTTTCAACCATGGCTTATCAGCCAAACAAGCACAAACGAACAGGGCGTAAGAAATGATAACATACCACCTGAAATGTTAAATAACTTTTAACTGGATAAATTTGGGTAATCCCTGGATAAATTCACGAGCTCATTTGCAAGCGCAAATGTTAAAACAATGAAGGTGTTGAAACATTAGAATAGGTTGAGTTCTGCATGATATGATATATGTCAACAATGTAGACCTTTTTTGTCTAGATAAGTTAGCAAAGAATTTGGATCAGAGATAAAGCAAATTATCAGCAAACTCATTAGCTGCATGTGGTACACTATACAGAGCATACATCACAAACAATATATAACCTCAACTAACTGTCATCATGAAAACAGTGTTTTGACATATACAAACAATTAAGTGATTGTAAATCAGAATTCCACTATCATGCCATCATGGCTATCAACTAGAACCAAGAATCTCATGCTGAATGAATAATCAAAGAAAATACAAAAAAAAACTATCAGAAAAGAAGAGTAGAAGACAAAACTGATCAATGAGATACTACTTAAAACTTAGTTAAAATAAACAAAACGAAGGAGCCAAAAAGAACAATTGGTTACTAAATGCCTTTAAGGTCTGACTATGTTCTAAGCAATTCCGTGTGATCTGTGATGCTCTGCCTCTCTTTCTTATAGGGTATATCTGGAGCACAATTTCCAAATTTATCATGTAAAAAACGATTTGTCATTTCAAATTGTGAGCCTATCTTTTTTTAATACAATAATTCTTATAAACACCCAAACTTACCAACATGCTAGCCTACTATACTAGCAAAGTAGCAACCAAATCAGAATTGTGAAATATATCCAACATGCTAGCCTGCTATACTAGCAACCAAATCAGAATTGTGAAATATATTTATTGCCTCTTATCTTCAGATTATGTGATCATTTAGCCCTTATTAAAAAATATTTACTCAGAACTAAATTTTTTTAAACCAACTCAAAACTAATTTAATGAACCTATCGTTAATCATTGGATCAAAGACGAAAATTAACAACATACCACACTGTCAGTCCCTGCTAACCTTCTTGGCCTTGGCATTCTTCTTATCAATCAAAGACCGGATATGAGCAATGTAGTCATCCCAGTCAACGTCACTATCATACAGACACTGGCACTCTTCCTCGGTCCAGTCCGCGGTATGGTTTGTGACGAAGACGGCTCCACCCTGTGCGGTTGCCTTGTCCACCATATTTGCAAAAGCCTTAAACAATTCATAGTGTCGAGCCTTCTCCTCCTTGCTTTTGTATCTCTTTCCATACTCTCTGATCCATTCCCCGGACCGTGCCTTCATGGCCGCCTCGTCCCTGATGGCTACGCTGTTTGTCACCTCCTTGACAGCCTTCTTGGAAGACCTTTCGTAACGAGCCTTCTTCTGCGCAGCAGCTATCTTCGTCATCTCAGCAAGGTACTCCTCCAAGGAGAAGTCGTTACCATTGTGCTCTTTGGTTTCTGCCTCTGATATGGCCCCTTGCTTCCTGGCTTCCACCCCAGCCAACTGTCTCTTTGCTTCCTCCCCAGCCACTAACTCCTTAGTCACCTCGCCGGCTATAGGTAATAGGTACGCACAGATATAGGTATGAACAATGGGCGAAATTTAAACAAAAGGCGAGGAATTTGAAGACTTTTCATAACTGACTCATCTACACCTTTCGTGAGATACATAATTCCAACCAATCCAGCTAACGCAGCCGCGGCTACACCACCATAAGCGCTTGCGCCTGCGCCATGACCAAGAGCGAAATCCCTCTGCATCGTGACGAGAAAAATGAGTCGCGAGCGCAAATTAAAGAGAGAAAGCGCTTTGACCTGGCCACTTGGGTGAAATAAACTCACGGGTGAGTGGAGAGGGCGTGCTAGCATGCATGCCACTGCCGCCGGCGCTAGTGCCTTCGCCTGCGCAGGGGAGATCCCGCTCCCTCGTGACAACAACCTTCGTGTGAGAAGGGAACCGAGAGACCGGAGGGACATCCTCTCGACTGCTTGCTCTTCCTTTTGCCGCTTCGATCTCCTCCTTGCTCGCTCGCCGCCGCCTCGCTCCCATTGGGCGCCGGCCGTGATTGTTCGCTGCCCGTGCACACCGACGGTCGAACGGGACCCTTATTTCACAGTGGCGTGGCCCAACTCGTCCGAGAAACAGGCCCAGGTCGGTGGTCGGCCCAGTGTCGAGATTAATGTCAAATTTAAGGCAGGTGGACGGATCCAGCTTGGGCGTGACCCCTGCGTCATCTCTAGGGCAGACTCGGATCGCTCTATCAAGCTCTATGCGTGGGTGGCCTGTGTTAGGTTGATCTCCACTAAGTTAGCTCAACGGCTAATTTGAACCCTTGATCCATGTCCTGATCGGGGCGCCCAACCCAATCATGGTTGGTGGCCCCGTCGCGCATCGCTATAAAGAGGAAGGTGGGGGCCGGGACACTAGGTACGAGGTTCACCACAGCCACCAACTCCCCACTTACGTCCTAACCCTAGTCCGATCGAGAGGGCAGCGCGGATAGCGACGGGAAGCTCCGCCACCACGTCATGCGCTGCCACTGCACTCCGGCCGACTTCTATTCCGCCGCCGAACTCCACTACTACCACTTCACCACTGACCCGGGCTGCACCACACCTTCGCCATGGCTACATCGTCCTCCTCCGCCAAGCCTTCCGATGGTCGGTAACGCTTCCCCTCTCTCCTCCCCTTTTTCCTTTTAGATCTACCGGTTCTAGCTTGTGAGTCAAAGTTTTACTACTGCTAAGGAAGTTTTTACCCACTGATCTGCTCCTGATTGATCCTAAGATTGTAACAATGGTATCAGATGAGCCTATTCTAGGTGTAGATCTAGTTCTTGGGGTAGAAATCGAGAAGAATAAAGCAGGAGATGAACGAATAACTCCTCGTTGGCGTGCAGGCCACCACCGCCGTAGCGAGAAGATGAGCCCAAGCCATCGCTCCACCGCCACGCGGGAAGATTAGTTCGACGACGCGTCGCGTGCGCGGGCTCGGGCTCCGGGCACCGGCGCAGGACCCCTCGACGATGGCGCTCTCAACCACGGTTGAACGCGCGTCGTCGAAAGGGCCTGCGGCGGCGCCGCCATCCTTCTCATGCCGCCAGTGGTGCTCGCCGTCGCTTGGCTCGCCGTGTGAAGAAAGGGAAGAAATGGAGTTAGGGTTCTGGGGGAGCCCGGTCGGCCGGGGGTTTTGATCCGGCGAAATGCGCGGAGGTCCGTCCGATCGCATCCAACAGCCGACAGCGACCGGACCGATTTCGGCCCAGGCGGGGAGGTGAAATCCTGGCCCACAGGGGAGGCGCCACGCGCGCATGGGCACTGCTGGGCCGTGGGTTTTTCGCTGCTAGGCCGTGGGCTGCTGCTCTGCTGGCCCAAATGCATAGTATGCTTTACGATTTTCGTTTATATTTTCAGAAGCATTTATTTGATGTTTTATTCAATTTTACATGTTTAAATCTCTATTCATTTTGCACCAACGTGTATATTGTTTAGAGAGTAGATCAGTACATAATGCTCCTGAAAAAGTAGTTTTTCATGTTTTCGCTGCAATGTTTTAAGTCTATCCTCTAATTAATCTTGAACCAACGGGAAATTTTAATTGGAGGAGTAGCGACTTTTTTGGTTAAGTTGGATTATGATATTGTTATTTTCTTATCAACGTTGATAATAGCAATATTATAATTTTTTATTCATGAGTTTTTCCATGCATTAGTTCTATTTCTGCCCAACGGTGATGTAGAATTAATGTAGAAGCATATTGTATGTTTTAATTTTGACCAACATCAAATTACGACATGCAATTATTATGTCAACTGTTTCTCACTTTCTCTGACGTTGTTTCAGGCTACAACCCAATGACGTTTATCTCGTCCATTCCGCCTCTCAATGGAAGCAACTATAACGTATGGCGAGAGAAGTTTGAGATAGCACTTGTGCTGTCCGACAATGATCTAGCACTTATCTCTCCGTGTCCCACTGAGCCAGTGGACCCGGTGAGGGAAGCAAATGAGACTGATGCAGCTTTTGCTACTCAACAACGTGACCATGCAGAAGTGAGAATGAAGTACGACCTTGATCATGCAAAGTGGGATAGTTCAAACTGCAAGTGTTTGATGGTGATTAAGGGCTCCATTGAGGATCCAATAAGGGGTTCAATCCTAGAATGTACCACCACCATTGAGTATCTCAAGAAGGTAGAGAGTCAGTTCACTAGCTCTTCAAAGGATTATGCAAGCACTCTTATTAAGAAGTTAGTCAATGAGAAATACTCTGGTGGAGGGATTAGAGAGCACATATTAAAGATGAGCAACACGACATCTAAGCTCAAGCCAATAGACTTGGGACTCAAGGATGAGTTCCTAATTCATTTGGTTTTTACATCTTTGCCCAAAGGGTATGAGACTTTTATTATTAATTACAACTTACAGCCAGATAAGTGGGACATTGAGAAGCTCATTGTCATGTGTGTGCAAGAAGAGGAGAGGCTTAAGAGCTCACATGGTGACTCTATCAACCATGTGAAGGAAAATAAAAAGAAGAATTTTAACAACAAGAATGCTAAACCACAAGGGAAACCTCAGTGGAACAATAGCTCCTCTTCTACGTCACAAGGAAAAGCCTCTCAGAAAGATCACCATCAGAAATCCAACTATGTTCAAGTGAACAAGGACACCTACAGATGGTGCCACAAGACTAGACACTACCAGAAAGATTGTCCAGAGTTCCTGAAGCACCTGATCAGAAAAGATGAGGACATTATTACATTTGTAGATGAGTCCTTGTATTTAAGTTATGCAAAATCTACTTGGTGGATTGATTCAGGTGCAACTATTCATGTTGCAAATTCATTATAGGAATTCCATACGAGGAGGACCCTACAAAGAGGAGAAAGACACATTAAGGTGGCAAATGAAGTCAAAGCTGAAGTAGAAGCCATTGGAGAACTCCCATTAGAATTAAATGATGGCTTTGTACTTAAGCTTACAGATGTCCTTTATGTACCCTCTTTACGTAGAAACTTAATAAGTGTCTCACGTTTAGACGATGATGGATATGATTGCCATTTTGGTAATGGCAAATGTAAGATAATGTTTAATCATAAGTGTGTTGGTTTTGCCTTCCGACAAGACGAGCTTTATTTGTTATCACTTTGTGAGAATATGAATGTTGTGAGCACTAAGAATGTGAATGCCTCCTCGTCTATGAATGCAAGAAATAAGCGGAAGAGAGTTCATGATGTATCATCAAAATTATGGCACTGTCGTTTAGACCATATTTCGAGGGGGAGAATAGAACGATTGATTAAGAAATCAATTCTTCCACCATTAGAATTTTCAGATTTAGAACAATGTATTGATTGCATTAAAGGAAAGTATGTTAAGAAAATAAAGAAAGACGTCAAACAAAGCGGGAGAATTTTGGAAATAATCCACACATATATTTATGGTCATTTTCCTGTAAAAATTGTGAATGGTTATGATTCATTTATAACATTCATAGATAATTATTCTCGTTATGGCTATATTTATCAAATTAAAGAAAGATCAGAAGCATTGGATAAATTTAAGATATTTAAGACTGAAGTAGAAAATCAGCACAATTTGAAGATTAAGGTAGTAAGATCCGACCATGGGGGAGTACTACAGTCGACATACCCCATATGGCCAAATTCCTGGACCTTTTGTAAAGTTCTTATAGAAAAATGGCATAGTTGCCCAATACTCTACATTGGGCGAGCCTCAGCAGAATGGAGTAGCTGAAATACGCAATCGTACCTTAATGGATATGGTGAGAAGTATGATAAGTTATTCCACTTTACCGATAAGTTTGTGGATGGAGGCTTCAAAAACCGTCATTCATATTCTCAATCGAGTACAAGCAAGTCGGTGCCCAAAACACCATATGAGTTGTGGACAAGAAGAGAACCCTCACTTAATCACTTACGTGTGTGGGGCTGTCCAGCCGAGGCTAAAGTTTTTAACCAAAACATTGGAAGCTAGACTCTAAAATAGTCAGTTGTCATTTCATTGGCTATCTAGATAAGTCAAAAGGTTATCGTTTCTACTATCCTGATAGACATACTAAGTTTGTAGAAATAAGACATGTTGTGTTCTTAGAGGATGATATGATCAGGGAGAGAATGGTATAGCGAGAAATTAACCTTGAGGAGAAGCGGGTATATGTGCTCACTCCGATGGTTCAGGAGCCATTCTCCTCGCTACCTGTTGCTGCTGCACCAACAAGACAGGACACTGTAGTGACAGCACCTATTGTTAGTTCTCCCGCGACAACAATAAATGAACATGAGGAACCTGTCCTTCAAGATCCTATAGAACCAATTGTCGCACATGAGGAAGAGCAACAACAGCCCCATATAGAACAAGCGCCAACTAATAAAGCCCTCATAAGGTCTCAAAGAGCAAGAAAACCAGCCATTCCTAATGACTACGAAGTCTACAAATGTGAAGAATTTTAAATGGAGGGTGATCCCACCTCATTTGAAGAATCCATGAGAAGCGCTCACTCGTCGAAGTGGCATGAAGCCATGCAAGATGAAATGAGATCAATGAGTACCAACAATGTTTGGGACAGAAAAAAATCCTAAAGGAGCCAAGATAGTAGGCTGCAAATAGGTCTACAAAACTAAATATGACTCCAAAGGGAATATGGAAAGATTTAAAGCACGACTTGTGGTGAAAGGCTTTACGCAAAGAGAAGGAATAGATTATAATAAGATATTTTCTCCAGTCTCATGCAAAGATTCTTTGAGAATCATAATGGCATTAGTGGCGCATTACGATTTAGAATTACATCAGATGGATATAAAGACGGCTTTCCTTAACGGGGATTTAGATGAGAATGTCTACATAGCACAACCAAAAGATTTTGTCATAAAAGAAAAAGAATATATGGGATGTCGTCTGAAGAAATCCATTTACGGATTAAAATAAGCCTCTAGACAGTGGTATTTAAAGTTTGATGGAACGATAAGAAAGTTTGGGTTTAAAGAGAATGTGGAGGACAATTGCATTTATACAAAGTTCAAAAATGGAAAATTCATTTTCCTAATCCTGTATGTGGACGACATCTTACTCGCTAGTAGTGATGTTAATCTACTACCGGAGATGAAGAAGTTCTTGTCCTCAATTTTTGACATGAAAAATCTCGGTAAATCTTCATTCGTTTTAGGAATAGAGATTCACCAAGATAGAAGAAAGGGGGTTTTAGGATTATCGCAAAAGGCATACTTAGAAAAGTTCTAAAAAATACAGTATGCATGCGTGTAAGCCTTCGCCTGCTCCTATAGTCAAGGACGATAGTTTTGGAGAATTCTAATGTCCCAAGAACCAATATGAGATCGATCGAATGAAAGCAGTTTCATATGCTTCAACTGTGGGAAGCTTACCGTATGTTCAAGTATGTACACGCCCTGACTTAGCTTTTGTTACCGGGATACTTGGCAGATATTAGAGTAATTTATGAATAGAACACTGGAGAATGGTAAAGAAAGCTTTGCGTTATTTGCAAGACACAAAATGTCTTATGTTAACGTACAGAAGATCCGATTCCCTCCATATAGAGGGGTATTCATATTCAGATTTTGCGGAAGATGTAGATGATAGAAAATCTACATCAGGCTATGTATTTACACTCGTAGGGGAGCTATATCATGAAAAAACTCCAAGCAAACCGTCACTGCATCGTCCACGATGTATGCCGAGTTTGTAGCATGTTATGAGACCATGGAGCAGGTGAACTGGCTAAAGAAATTTATGCCCAGGTTGAAAGTGGTCGATGATATTCATAAGCCACTCAAATTGTGTTGCGACAATGAGCCAGCAGTATGTTATGCTCACAACAATAAGTCAAGTGGTGCTGTCAAACACATTGACATAAAGTTTTATGTTGTGAAAGACAAAGTCCAAGATCATTCTATTGGTCTCGAGCATATAAGTACAAAGAAAATACTTGCAGATCCGCTTACAAAAGGCTTACCGTCCAATGTGTTCAGAGAACACTTAGCCGGCATGGGTTTATGGGAAAAGCCTATAATTCCTAGACAATAAGGGCCTAGTTGAGAATCTGTTTCAAAATAGAGAGGTGTGTTGTAGCTGTTAATCCAATGATACTAACTGTTGTGACGAGGCATGCTCTATGCGCTAATATGTGATGTAATGGGACAAGGAGATAAGTATTTTAAGTTTAAGTCATAAGGTGAGATCAAGGGTGAGAATGTTAGGTTGATCTCCACCAAGTTGGCCCAACGACCAATTTGGACCTTTGATCCGAGCCCTGATCGGGGGCGCCCAACCCAATCATGGTTGGTGGCCCCCCGTCGCGCAGCGCTATAAAGAGGAAGGTGGGGGCCGAGGCACTGGGTACGAGGTTCACCGCAGCCGCCAACTCCCCACCGACATCCTAACCCTAGTCCGATCGAGAGGGCAGCGCTGACAGCGACGGGAAGCTCCGCCACCACGCCATGCACCGCCACTGCACTACGACCGACTTCGATTCCGCCGCGCAGACTCCACTGCTACCACTTCACCACTGACCGGCTGCACCACACCTTCGCCATGGCTACATCATCCTCCTCCGCCAAGCCTTCCGACGGTCGGTAACGCTTCCCCTCTCTCCTTCTCCCGTTTTTCCTTTTAGATCTACCGGTTCTAGGTTGTGAGTCGATGTTTTACTACTGCTAAGGAAGTTTTTACCTGCTGATCTACTACTGGTTGATCCTAAGATTGTAACAGCCTACACTTACCTCCGATGGTAATGGCAATGATAAATGAAGGGGACAAAGCAGATGTATAAACTACCATGTGGGCATTTTTTGCGAGCTAACGAGGAAAGAAACCCTGCCCAATTTGCACCCGTTGAATTACATTCTTGCTGCAGGTTGTCATGTACTCATGTTCTATCGTCAAACTTCTTACGAAAAGTAAGTTTCGCACACATTTGATATAGCAACACAGCAGTGAAAAATAACGAGGTGGTAAAGAAATTAAGAGAAGAGGGAGAATGTGTTTCGCCTTAATAAAATGGAGGAGATTAATGTGCGATGGGTCATGGTTTACGAGAGCGTGTGACCCGTCATCTTCCTCGCCCCGTCATCTTCGTCGCGCCTATCCGCCCCACCCCCGCCTTCCTCCACTAATCTCAACTGAAGGAGGAAGAATGGCCGGTCGCCTCGCCACGAGCTCTTCCCAACCAGTTGTATTCCATGCCCACTCGATGATGCCCTGCTGCCTCTCTTGCTGCCCCTCAACCCGCCATCACCACCGATTCGACCGTCCCAAGGCCCCTCCCCTTCCTAAGGTTGTCAATAATGAATGTACCCTAAACCCCCCAAATCCGTACCTGAAACTCTAACCCCACCACCACCGCCCCCACCGACGGCGACCTCAACGCTAGCCACTTCCTCCCTCCCTCCCTAATTTCGACGGCATCATCGCCGAATAGAGTTTACGTAATAAAACTAGCTGGTACTGTTTTCAACCGAATCAAACAGCAACAAAATTATATTGAGAGCTTCTGGTTTCATTCCATGGCGTTTCAGCCAATCGCGTACAGCATTTTATCACAATATCACCCAACAATTAAATGTTACTGTTTTCCTATGAAACCTTGACACGGTACTATTGGAAGGATTGTGTCATACTCCTACGTTAATAATAAATCAATAAATAAAATATTATCGTGGGCATGCACTCGTGCTTCCAACAAAATTTTAGTGGCGTCTCGCGTCTGTGCTGTCACTTCTCCTTCCTCTTTCCCCATCTCTCCCGCTCGCTGCCGGTGGCCCCGTGATTTGGCGCCTGTGAATGGCGGGCGGAAGCGGCGAGGCGGCGATGTCTCCGCCGTCCTCCGGCGGCAGCGGAAGCGGCGGCGGGAAGCGCGGGCGGGACCCGGAGGAGGACGTGTACGTGGACAATCTCCACTCACACAAGCGGTACCTCAGCGAGGTCCGTCGCCCATCCCACGCCCTGCTCCTCTGCGTTCCCTCTCGTTTCGGTCTGGGTGGTTGCTTCTCGGGCTGGGCACCGAGAGTGTGCTGAAAGGGAGTGCGGGTTCCGGGTGGTTCCTTGGCCAATTCATCGGATACAGCCGTTGCCAGTCTCGAATCGATTGTGTTGCTCTGCTTCTCAATCTGGGCTCCAGGGTTTGGGTGTTAATTCCTCGAATTGGATGGTTCCTGGGTGGAGGTCCGGGTTGATTTGACTGTTTGCGGCCAATTGCTGCATTAGTCTTCTGCTTTTGTTTGGATTTGTGTTTCTTTGGCTCCAACGTTGGGTGCTGTTGAAACCTAGTTTTGGACTCATTGTGGAATGTTGGGTTACTTTTCAGCCCCTGCTCTGTGAAACCGGTACTGTTCACCCCCCCAAATTCCTTGGGGAAACTTGGTGATTTGGTACTTCCGGAGCCGCACATTGCTCTGTATCCATCATTTCTCCCCTCCAAATCAGAATAGCTGACATTTCACCTTCAGATGTTTTGATTATCTATCCTCCCCCCCTGTGTGTTGTTCGTTGATGATAGGCTAACATTTGCAGATAATGGCGTCCAGTCTGAATGGACTGTCTGTCGGGGATTCACTGCCTGACAACATCATGGAGTCCCCTGCAAGGTCAGAGACTGCTTCCTGCTTCAGGTCATTGTGCTCTCATCTCGTCTGCATTAACTACAAACAATTTACCTATGATTGTTTACGTATGCATACTCCATCGTGCATTGCGGTATTGTCAAGCAGTAGGCTTGAAACTTGAAACTGACAAGATGAGAATAAATTGCAATACTCAATCTCACAATGTCGCCCATTAATCTTAGTGTTATTCAACAAAATTGTTTCTCCAGAAATGAATCTTTCAAAATTGATGGTTCAGACTAGTTGTGAGATGACAGATGAGACAAACAGTGTTAGTGTTCCATTTGTTTTAAGTTGCTAATCCATCTTCCCCTGAAATGCATGATCCTTCACTCTCATCCAATTCCATATCATGCATTTGTAAATATGTAGGCACCCCAATTTCCCTGTTTTCCTAAAACAAATTGGAGAAAGCCTGTTCATTAGCTGAGAATTTAGGTAACAGGAAATATTTGTGCAAGTCAAGAAATCTGGCTTTTGTTTTTGATACAGTTAGCAAGCAACAAAGTTGTTGTTAGAGAAGGCTTTAGTGCAATTGCTTCTGAATATAATTCTAGAATAGCCTTTGTAGCATGGATGCTAGTTTGTTGTCAGATTCAATTGCCATTTCCATCTCATTTCTGCCTCGAATTAACTGACACATGTTTGCGATGTAGCCGCACACCACTGCAACTTAGTATCTTCTAAAATCAATAGTTGATTCTTCATACTTTTACTTATTTCATACTAAGTTACATGCTATAATGGAACATGTATGCATGGTTTCCACTATGCATTTACAGAAAATATTCTCTCTCTATGTTAGTAAATCTGGAAATTCTGGAGATTGTTATCGCCACACATAATTGCTCCAGTGGTTGGACTCACATGTAAGCAATTAAGTATTGAACATACTTTAAACATAATAGGTCTCTTTAATGTTCCAGATCATGTCAAGTTATCGATATGTAGTTAATATTAGTACTTGAATGGTGCATGTGGCTATGAACGTTGATGTCCGTCACACTTTGTTGGTAGTTGGCTACCATGTGGGAACTGTGGTCAGGAAGCATAAAAATACACTCGGAGAGATCATCTTGTTTTTTGTGGGTTTTACTTCTGTTGATTTGGTACTTTTTGAAAGTAACTGTTGATTTGGTACTTCTACTTCTCAGCAATTATATTGTGATGCATTGATGATATGAATTTCATACTGAATGATCATACTTGCCTCCTTTCAGGGATGAGATATTATCCCAATACTCGCCAATGTCAGAAGACTCGGATGATTACCGGTGCTATGACACTCAATTAAACCCCAGTGGGAATCATCATGATGCGATGATCAGCCCTTCAACTAGTCCAATGTCATCTCCTCACCGACACCAGAGACCACAATCTCCTTTGTTACCTTCAAACCCATACCCTCTCCCAAGCTGCTCCCTTTCATCAGTAGTCTGCTCTCATGCTCGGCGTGGCTCCGATAATGAAGGCCGGTTCCCATCCTCACCGAATGACATGTGCCATGGGGCAGATTTGAGGCGAACAGCACTACTGAGGTCAGTGCAAATGAGGGTGCAGGGACCCCATTCGTACGACCTATCATTTGGCATGAGACAAGGACAAGAACATGTACATGAGCATGAAGATGAACATGAGCATGAACATCTAGAGGATTTGGAAAGGACAGAAAGATCATCATCTTGCAATAAGTCAATCGTTGACGAAATCACGTACCAGCGACCTGACCATGATTTTGGTCGACCAGAGCATGAGATAGATTACATCAACTGCACATCAGATGATTGTCCAAGTGACCTAAAATTTAAGCAAGAAGATAGGAGCCATAGTAAATTTGATACCCGTATGGACAAGAATACATAGCACAGGAACATGCTGTATCACTTTCACATTAATTTTTTGGATTATAGCTCTGCTTAACTTTGTTGTAGTTTTGATGGTTGTCTTATCTACTGTTGTCCGTGGTTTGAGCATCAGCGTTCTGAATAGCGACATTGTAATATTTGAGTGAAATTAACTTTTGGAGTGTTGCAATGCCATCAGATTGTATGTAAGCTCACCGACAAAATTGTTTGAAATGGCACATTAGCCCTTGTAATGCAACTCAAGTAGCAAACAGGAAATTTGTTCTCGCAGAAACTGGCAAAAACTAATTCCTGTGATGCGATTGGGACCTTAAGTATTATTGTGAATAAGCACATTGACTAATTGTTTTTTCAGAACAACCGCAACTGGCATCACAAGCACATGGGTGACCCTCTGGCCAACAACAACTAAGGTAATTCCCATGTTGCCAGATAACAGAGTGACCAATCCAAATAAGATGCATCAAGATTTCACCTTTCACCAGATTACATTAGGGCAAATAACTTGCAGAAGCTGCATAACTAATTTATTGGATCAAAAACAAAGTATGGGCTATCATCACAGGATGGCTACATAAACCTTGTGTGTGAAGTAAACTGTGAGTACGAAGTCAATCCCTGGAACCAGAAAAGACAAAACGGGTCTACGTGCGTGAACTAGCTCTGCCACTACTGGACTCTCTCACTACCACCTTTCTCTCATCAGCCGATTTCTTCTGTTTTCCTTCCCTCACAAGTGGTGGTTGTGCTATCAGCTCAAGTCACTGGCAGGCCGTGGCTGTGGGTCATCACCTTCAAGAAGAGAATGTCGAAAGAATGTTCTTCTTAATGATAAATTCATCAGCTTTGGAAGGACTGATTGACTGCAATACGATGAAATATGGAAATTAGCTTCTGAATTAGTAATATAGTGGACAGATCGAATGGGGGGTGGAAACTTATATGCACACCTTCTCCAGCAAGCGGTGAAGCCTCTCAGTCTCCTTCTTAGTGTAGTCAGAGCCCTTGTCCATAATCTTCTTTGCAGCTGTCACATATATCTTTCCGTGCCTGGTTTAGAAGCAAAATAGTTAATACTAGTAATTTGACAATGGTATTACCAACATAAAAATGTGACCAATTAAGTAGCCTGCAAACATGCTGGAGGGGAAGGTGGAAGAAAGTACTTGGCAGCAGAACCACTGAGCTTAGCAACATCCTCTTCTATTTTAGAGAGGACTTCCTTCCGTTTGTCATCAGCAGCATTGAGAAACTCTTTCACAAGAGGATTCAAGCTTGCCACAAGCCCAGCCTACAGAAGTGAACAGAATGCATCAGATTCAGAATTCATCAGCTTCATTCCAAAGTGAATTTGCTTAATTTTAACCAACCTCTGAATTCAGTTGGCCCTTTGAATCCCGGCTGGTGCCACACTTCTCATTAATAAACTTGACAAAGTCATCCAAGTCCCGGCCACCATCATAATCTTCACCAGCTTTGTTTCCCTTAGGGAAGAACTTCAATGTGGGGAAACCAGAAACACCATACCTGCAAAGGTGACATATATTATTAAAATTCTGCCTTGATCATGGAAGAAAGGACAGACGTAGCAAAACTTGTTATAAATTCAGTCATAGGTTGTGTTATCCTAAACAGTCTGTCAAATTATAAAAGAACCACTTTCGTATTTCCTCACAAAAAAATTCCATCACAATCACAGTATAAGATGAAAAATCCAACCATGTTAAACTAAAGACAGAAAGCTAATGTACATAACAACCACTGAAATAGACTAGTCAGAATCCATACTTCTCAGCCAAGTCAGTGTGCTTGTCAGCATCAAGATTGGCGATCACAACACCATCGTCCTGCTTGAAAACTGAAGCCAGCTTCTCATAAACCTAAATCAAGTACAAGTATATGTTCAGTCCACTAAAAATTGAAGATCTGCTGCAATTATTTGGAAATTTTCAAGCTAATACTCTCTACTAACCGGAGCAAGATGCTTGCAGTGACCACACCTGTAAACAGAAGGGCCATCAATGGAATTAAATTTCAGTGAAGTAGTGTGATGAAAAGAACTTAGTTGGACATAAGTTGAACACGATAACCAACCATGGGGCATAGAACTCAACAAGAACATCTTTGGTTTCATCAAGGACAATTGAGTCAAAGGTCTCTGGAGTCAGAACCACGACGCTTGAAGGAATGGCAGCTATCTTGACATTGGTACCTAGAACAATGTGCAAATTAGTTGACAGTAGTAGATTCTTCAACAAGTAGCACTTGATAGGACTTCGATCAAAATAAAGATGCCATCATGTGCGTAAACATAATTAACTAGAAGAGATTTTGCATGATAGCAAATGGCTTAGGGGCTTATCCATAATTAAAGTAATGAACTTCAGAATAGAAAAAAAATATGAATATGACTAACAGCATCTATAATAAGTATCAAAGGGGCCGAAGGATGGCAGTAAATAGCACATGTTGATAATTTCACTTGATGTTCATTGCTCAAGATTTAGTGTTTTACAAATAACCTGTTTGTTTCTTTTGAAAGAATAACACTAGGGGAAGCCCCTACTGTGATAAGTGTAAAATATATGCTTCATTGTCCACCAATTTGATAATTATAAAACAACACAACATGGTTGAGAACTGTTCTTAGCAACAGGCAAGGCCTACCTGCTTCACTGTTAACAAATTCTGCAAGGGCTTCCACAGAACGTTCACCCTCATACCTGCACAAGAGTAGATTTAACATTATTATCACAGTAAAAAAAATCCTGGAAAGTACAAAACAGAAGTTATGCACTCTCACTTCTTTGGCTCCAAGGAACCTTTGGGGAACCATTGAATTGTGGGGTACCCAGAAACTCCATACTTGCTGCACAAACTCTTGTGCTCATCGCAGTCAACCTTAGGTAGTAGATACAAAGAAGAAAAACAGTCAATTCATTGTAGCAAAAAAAAATGTAATTAGATATTCAAAAACAAGTTTTGATAACATAGAAAATCCTGGGATGTAAATGATGAAACCTGTTGCAATATCAACTTTCCACTAGGGAGACTAAACATGATGAGACATACCTTTGCTATTAATACAGATTTAGCCTTCTTGAAGCTTGCGCCAAGTTTTTCATACTCGGGGGCAAGCTTTTTGCAGTGGCCGCACCTAAGAAACAGAAGATGGTCAGAAAAGCAGTATCTGATGAAAAGATCACTAAAAACAAATGGTCATAGAAAGATTTCCAGATAAGTGAGTTGTGCTCACAGAACCGAGAGATTGCAAAAGAAGACATGATTTTAAGTGATTGATTCTACAGATTACAGTATACTCTAGAATATTTCAATCAAATATTACTTATTTGAAACACTCATCTGGTTGGCAACACTATCACTTGCTGAAAACTTTTGTTAACAAATGGAATTCAGACAATTGAGTTCCAGAAGAACTACCCAAGTATAACAGAACCACATCCTGAGTTCTGATTTATATGCCTAATAAAAGGCATTTAAATAATCCATGTGATTCATTTTCATCAGATTGCATAACAGTTTTAGATCACCTTAAAGTGGATGTTGTACTCACTAACACAATGAAACAAAATATCCAGTGCTTCATGAACTACCAGCAAGTGATCATGAGCACAGCACAACATAAGATTTGACCCTTCCCTTTCTACAATCAAGCACTGAAGATCCTTCTAGCAGTAAGACGTTCCCCGCTCTCATGAGCCCATCTACTAATGAGCCAAAGCACTAGGCAGACTACAGCCACAGAGAAAAACAATCGATTGATACGAATTGGTTACAGGATCAGATCCCGTGAGTCTCGGTGTAGGACTCGCCCATAACCACTACGCAAACGTTTGGGATCTCAATCCCATTTGGCAACAAGGATCTGAAACACATAGAACTACTAGCCTGCTACTTAGCTACGAGAAGCACGAACACACGCAGCCGAAGGATCCAGGCTTTCTGGCTCCCGTAGAGCAATGGCTACCCGATCCATCTCGCCCGAGAATCCGAACTGGTCAACTCAATTGTCAAGTTGGCACGGATTCATAGCTAAAAAACATGCTACAGACTCGAGTAAGGACGAGCACAGCAATTTCCAAAGGATGTACTGTAACACCGGCCCGACACATTCCAGCCTCTCGGCTCTGTCCCAGACCCAACGAACCACGGATCCGGCCCGACAACGAGATAGAGAGAGGAGGGGAGAGGGGGGCGAACCATGGCGCGTAGAACTCGACGAGGGCGCCGCGGTCCTGGCCGACCTCCTTCTCGAAGTCGGCTTCCGTCAGGGCCACCACCTCGTCGGCGGTGGCTGGCGAGACGACCGCGGCCGCGGCGGCGAGGAGGAGAAGGAGGCCCAGGGCTCTGCGGGAGATCTGAGGGGACGCCATGATGCGACCTGCGAGCTCGAATGAAAAATCGGGAGAGAAGTGAAGCCGATTAATAGTACAGTTACTTGGTTATTATAAAGGGAGATTAGAATTAGAAGAAAGTGGGCCCGGGGCACGTGAAATGCATTGACTGTAGGCTCCGATGATCCGTTTCTTCTACGCCAGCACTCCAGCACGAATTCACAAAAACTTAGTACTCCTATTGGATTGGAATTTGGAACGGGTACGTGTACGAAATAGAACACAGTTTTTCCTATTGGCAAGCATTCGATGGACTGAAAATGGAATACATTACAAACTTTTATTAAGTCACAAAAAAACTTTTATTTAGCTCTATCTTTTTTAAGATGTTTCCATATAAATTGACACCACAAACACATCAAGAATTATTATACAATAATGAACTCTTCGGTTCTAACTATATATTGTTCAAGTTCTCAACTTATATAGTTTTACCATGTACGACATAGATATATAGCATATATATTTAAGTATACAGTAGAAAGCTATATAATTTAAATTTCAAACTATAAAAGAAATAAAACAACATATAATTCGAGATCATCCATACGGTTAAGACTATATGATGAAGGAATTAGTATGATTTAACTCCTTGTTGAATCAAGAGAAAATCACCGAGAGTAGATCAAAGAAAAGCAAAGGTCTAAACACCATTATCTAATAAGCTATCTATACTTACTTTATAACTCATATTGTCGTTTAATAATAGATGTGTTATTCTTCCTGTTCTAAACCAAATTCAAGAGCTTTGTTGGAGTTGCACACATTTTGATTTTGTTTATGTAAGGAGAGAAACGGATATGGCTGCATTATATAGCCAAGTTTACTTTGATCTCAGATTCTACATGTAGGTGGACGTAAGATATCCCTAATTTTTTACTCCCGTATATTCAACATGACTCTCATACTAAGAATTGAAGTAATTTAAAGTCTTGTTTCAAAAAAAAAAAACTCATATGCTGTTTATCAATCCAACGGTCAGAGTTTCCCATATAGGTTGGATGAGAGTAACTTAATTATGTCTACCAAGTAATTTTGTTTCATTTCTTATTTGTGAACTTTGAATGACAGTGCCACTAAAAAGATTGACACGCCACCCTAATAATCAAGACTAAACTTTTCCTTACGATAGCATATATTTCAACTAAACTATCACAAGTAAAAGCATGCAATAAGACTTTTAGCATACACAATTTACCTATCAACATCCTACCCTAGAAACTACTATACATTTACGAGCGAGTCTCGTCCTTATAGACAATCAGCATGTTCGTTTCGGTTGAATTGACTTATAAGCCATGGCTGAAAGTACTGCTGGCTGGTTTGATGTGAGAGAAAAACAATGTTCAAGCATTGGATTATAAGCCAGATACGAGCGAATAAGTCGAAACGAACAGGCTGAACGTCTATACAATAGGATACGATGACTTTTGGAATTGCAAACTAAATGCATCCTTGTACAACTTTGTGAGTGATGATGTAATACACAGTTTTAAGATAACCTTTTCGCATAATAAACCCTACAAAAACATCCGTCCAACTTCCTCGGACAAATTAACAACAAGAAGAATAAATTTGTTAGCTTCAATTGTAGTACTTTAAACTCAAATCGATAGCAATTAGTAGCATGATTTTTAAGACTTTAAACTCAATATTTTCAAATAATAACGATGGAGCTAATAAGCACATGGTAGCGCTGCTTAAATTTATGTAAAAAAACTTGAAAAATATTTTCTCTTACCTTTAAGAGCATCTACAAGGTCTTTCTTAAACTTACTCTCTAAACCCTTATCTGGAGAACTATTTGAATAAAAATCACTCTTCATATATTTTCACCATCCAATAACTTCTTTATATCTTGTATGCAATCTACAGAATCAATCTCGCTCTACATCTTTGGCTAGCAAAAAAAATATAGAATAAAGGATTATTATATGGGAGATCTAGTTAAAAAAGATGTTGAAAGGTGTTTTTTCACCAAAACATTCCGTTGTTTTTTACGTGTCACATTAAATTTGTCCTAAGATTAAAGATTATTATCATTGACCATCTATTTTGAAAAATTCTTTAGTTTTACTGCCTATATATAAATTATATTATGAAAATATTTTTCATGGTGAATCTAAAAATACAAAATCTTATGTCATGACTCTATATGATTTTTTTAAAAAAAAATCAATATCAAAGATACAAATATTTGACTTAGGACAAATCTAATACAACATGTAAATAAAAACAAACCAAGTAGATTAAGAGAAGGCTTTAAATCGGTATTACTTGTTTTCGTCGTTCCACGGCGGTCGTCACACGGTTTATACTCCACAAGGCCGCACCGTGTGAGGTGTGAGTTGTGACGCATGGCAAACCGTTGACCTGACCTCCACGTCAACGCACCGCTTCTCCCGTCCATTGCTGACGTGTATCGGTTCGCGGTGCACCTAGCAATTCCGGCTGACCGCAAAAGCGCGAACCGTGTCCACGTGGACCCACCGCATTCGTCAGAGACGCAGCATCCCGCACCCTATTGGTCCACGTCACGCGCTCCACGTCCCCCGCGCGCTTCTCCCACGAACAGGCACCCGATCCCTTCTAGAAAGTTTTAAACCGCAGGAACCAAAAGACCACTGCGGAAGACGGAGGACGGCGACGCCGGCGGCGAGGAAGAGGAGGAGGAGGGATACGACGGCGAGGGAGAAGCTGTCTCTCTCCACGTGCGGGAGCGCTAACCCTAGCTGCCAACCGCGCGGAAACACCGGATTGTGAGGGGAGGCCGAGGGGAGAGGGGCGACGAGGCGTCTCGAGGAGGCGGGAGCGGGATGGCGGCGCCGGGGAAGGGAGCGGCGGCGCGTTTTGCGGCCGCGCTCTTTGTCCTCCTGAATCTCGCTGTGGCGATCGCCGGGTAGGTTTCTGGGCTCGGATCACCTGTTGTTTCTCGCGTGGATTCTTCGAGATCTCAAAATCCCTTCCGTTACTGGCCGATTTTGCGCTCGAAAACACCCACTTCGATGGTTTGATCCCTCCCCCCACCCCCCGATTTCACAGCCTTTTTCTACTGATTCATTTATTCTTCATTTGTTATGCGTCAGGTCGAGATTTGTGTGCTCGACTCCGTCCTGTTTAATCCATAGTAATGCTTTTTAATTCGACTGAATATCGATGGCAATGGCGCAGGAAGAGCTACTACGACGTGCTGCAAGTTCCCAAGGGCGCGTCCGAGGATCAGATTAAGAGGTCGTACCGCAAGCTCGCGCTCAAGTACCACCCCGACAAGAACCCCGACAACGAGGAGGCCAACAAGCGCTTCGCCGAGATCAACAACGGTACTAGTCGCTGAGTACTTTACAATTAAATGGATAACCTGGAATTGATAAGTTGTGCTGCAAATTTAACAAATGTATTTTGTTGCAGCGTATGAGGTGCTGACGGACCAGGAGAAGAGGAAGGTCTATGACCGGTACGGCGAGGAGGGGTTGAAGCAGTTCCAAGGCGGGAGAGGCGGTGGCGGCGGAATGAACATTCAGGACATCTTTAGCAGGTGAGCTGAATACTAAGCATCATGCTTCAACAGATCAACTAGAAGTTTTGATACTGAAACATCAATGATCATGCTTGTATTGCCCACTTGCCCCTATGTTGGTGTGTATGTTTCAGCATAGATTTTGCATCACGTGGATATCTATCTTACAGATGGTACCCCCAAAAAAATTGTCAACATAGCAGGTGCACAGTTTATGATGAAATTCCAAATGTAGCGAGTAACCTGGCTTGTATGCACTTGATTATCCAAAAGAAGACTCATTGGCATGTGTTAACTTGCAAGATGGAATTTCCGATATGACAGCGCCATAGAGTATACCACATCTGGAATGTGTACCTTCCATTCTGTAGGATTTGAGAGCACCACGTTAATGATTCTTTTATCAGCAAATGTGTCACTTGGCTGTTCATCATACCAGTGCAAGATGAGTGATGTCTGGGAATATTATGGAATGTTGGAGAAACGAGTGTCTTTCCTGCATTTCCTAACAAACAACCAACTATGTGTCTAATCCACCATAACCGCATATCTACTCCCTTGGGTCATAGAGAAGTGCCCTTTTCGGCATTGGTTATGTTCCCTTAATACAATCATGGAATCCAAATTTTGTAATTTACTTACAAAAGGTGGAAGACAAAAGCAGTGACAACAACAAAGCCTTCACTCCAAAGCGAGTTGGGGCAAGCTAAAAGATAGCAAAAGTATAATGTTTCAATTTTTTAATCTCCACGTAGAAAATGTACTGATGGTCAAGTTTAGTCGGCTTTCAGAAATCTAAAATGATTCATTTTTTCTGGGCTGGAGAGTATCATTTTGAAGCTATGACTAGAATAAGCTTGGTTGGATGCCTGTTTGTTCATAGGAACATGTCTCTTGCAAAGCTTCAGCTAGATGCACCTCAATTAGTCATTCCTAATAATTTTCTGTTCTTACTGCATCCCAAATGGTTGAGCATTAATGTTTCAATTATTTAGTGTTCACCTTGCTGAATTTTTTTCCACAATTTTCTTCAGCTTTTTTGGTGGTGGTGGTGGTGGGATGGAAGAGGAAGAAGAACAAATTTTAAAAGGTGACGAGGTGATCGTTGAACTGGATGCTTCATTAGAGGACTTGTACATGGGCGGTTCATTAAAGGTAACATGATTTGCCTAGCTGACAGACTGTAATAAGTATATAGCTAAGTTTTCGTCTTGCTTTTAAAAATTTTCCGCTGTCATTCAATCATGCTTTAGCAAAATGCTTCCACTAGATAATGTTTCTGGTTTATTTTTTTAGAAAGCTGTACTGTGTTGTGCATAAGGGAAAAGTATAGTATTTATATTTACTTTTCTATTTTCAATGTGTCTTAGGTTTGGAGAGAGAAAAATGTCATAAAGCCAGCACCAGGAAAGAGGCGCTGCAACTGTAGGAACGAAGTTTACCATCGACAAATAGGTCCTGGAATGTATCAACAGATGACTGAGCAGGTATTTTTCTAGTTACGTTGTTCATGATGTATATTTTAATCCATTGAGAGTTTTGATATACTGAGGATGTTTCTTATTTCTAAGGTCTGCGACCAATGTCCAAATGTGAAATTTGTACGAGAAGGTGAATTCTTGACTGTTGATATTGAGAAGGGAATGAAAGATGGACAGGTATAAACTGTTTTATATGTCCTGGGTCCTCCAGTTCTAACCGTGGTTGGGCTGTACCATATTGACATTGTTGTATGTGCTATTCATCCTATATTGTAATTTTGATATAGCATACAAATTAAGCCATGTAGGTAAATGATACATGCCGTGTATATTATGTACTACTTGATTACAATACTACAGTGAATGTCTGAAACTATATAACTCAAACTTAGCAATTCTTTGGATTATTCAGACAAACTGGCTGGTTTCCTGCTTTGCTAGTGCCAACCACTGCTGCTTGTGACTTGTTAGGGTTGAATTGCTACTAGTTATTGCAGCCTTATCCCTTACTTCAAAACATAATAAATTAATACGACAGGTTCTGATGTATGTTTAAGTTTCCTTAAAGACAGCTCTGCAGACAAGATGCCATAGTTCTGATTCGTGACACTACAAAGGACATGCTCTTTTCTAGTTCCCCTTCACAAGCTAATTTAAGGGTGTCAACTGAATGTCTTCCTTTGCCTTTTGATGTCATTTTGTAGTGTTCTGCCTGAACACTTCCCTTGTTTTAGACATCTGATACATCCAAGTGTCACTTTTTGTGGACTGTTAAGTTTGTACGCTTGCCTGTTACAGTCGATGTTAATATGCCATAATCTGACACTTGGTTAGAGACATTTAAAGATCTTAAGTGGTTCATTATGAATCCCCTGTTATGTACAGGTTCTCTGCACTTATATTTTTATATTTTTTATTTGATAGAATCATATGATTTTTTCAGGAGGTCTTGTTTTTCGAGGAAGGCGAGCCTAAGATTGATGGCGAACCTGGCGATTTGAAGGTTTGTTTTGTCCCTGTCTCTATTTGGTTGAAATTTACTTAGTGTACCACCATGTTTACTAATTGTGGGCTTCCATTAAATAACCTTACAAGCAGTTCAGGATCCGAACAGCACCACACAGTCGCTTTAGACGAGAAGGCAATGACCTGCATGCAACAGTTACAATATCCCTGGTACCGCCCTCTCTTGTCCTGTGCATGTTCTGCATCTTGACCGGAAAAGCATGGTGTCATCTCACACAACAACAACAACAAAGCCTTTAAGTCCCAAACAAGTTGGGGTAGGCCAGAGTTGAAACCCAGTAGAAGCAATCAAGGTTCAGGCACGTGAATAGCTGTTTTCCAAGCACTCCTATCTAAGGCTAAGTCTTTGGGTATATTCCATCCTTTCAAGTCTCCTTTTATTGCCTCTACCCAAGTCAACTTCGGTCTTCCTCTGCCTCTCTTCACGTTACTATCCTGGCTTAGTATTCCACTACGCACCGGTGCCTCTGGAGGTCTCCGTTGGACATGTCCAAACCATCTCAACCGGTGTTGGACAAGCTTTTCTTCAATTGGTACTACCCCTAATCTATCACGTATATCATCGTTCCGAACTCGATCGCAAATCCAACGCAACATACGCATTTCTGCGACACTTATCTGTTGAACATGTCGTCTTTTCGTAGGCCAACATTCTGCACCATACAACATAGCAGGTCTAATCGCCGTCCTATAAAACTTGCCTTTTAGCTTCTGTGGTACCCTTTTGTCACATAGGACACCAGATGCATGGCGTCACTTCATCCACCCTGCTTTGATTTTATGGCTAACATTTTCATCAATATCCCCGTCTCTCTGTAGCATTGATCCTAAATATCGAAAGGTATCCTTCCTAGACACTACTTGACCTTCCAAACTAATATCTTCCTCCTTCTGAGTAGCAGTGCCGAAGTCACATCTCATATACTCACTTTTAGTTCTACTGAGTCTAAAACCTTTGGACTCCAAAGTCTCCCACCATAACTCCAGTTTCTGATTCACTCCTGTCCGGCTTTCATCAACTAGCACTACATCGTCTGTGAAAAGCATACACCAAGGGATGTCCCCTTGTATGTCCCTTGTGACCTCATCCATCACATGAACCAAAAAAACATTTTTGTTTCCGATGACTTTATTAATTCAATACAAGCCCGAATTATAATTTTGCTACTAATTTAGCATAGACTTGATCTAAACAGGCTACTGCATCTTAAACTTTCCCTCTTAAAGAACCAATATCACCATTTGTACTTTTGAAATTGCATTATCCTCTTAACCTACTTCTACCTATCCAATGATTCTATCTAGTTGTTTTCCATGCAAGATGCATTGACTCTTTCGCTGTAGATCCCCTATAATCACAGTTTTCTTTGCCTTTTTTTCTGGGCACATTTTGCTATTGCAGGTGCAAGCTCTGGTTGGTTTCGAGAAGACCATCAAGCATCTTGACAACCATCTGGTAGAAATTGGCACCAAGGTAAGGACAGCCACCCATCAACATGATTTTATCATCTGCAACAGACCGGCTCAATTTTGTCGCTAATTCACAGGGCATCACCAAACCGAAGGAGATCAGGAAGTTCAAAGGTGAAGGCATGCCACTATACCAAAGCAACAAGAAAGGTGACCTGTATGTGACATTCGAGGTGTTGTTCCCGAAAACCCTAACCGATGACCAGAAGGCCAAGCTTAAGGATGTTCTCGTGTAGAGCATTGCTGTTCACATCTATGCTACTGATAGTTTGAGGCGAGCGCCTCGAGGAAAATTTTCCGAGTAGCTTGCATAGGAAGCAGCAGCTGCTGCGTTTCTTGTATGTGATTATGCATTGCAAATACTAGCAGCCTGGTCTTCTTTTTCTTTCCCTTGTGGTTTTGTCATGCGCCCTTAACAGCTCAGTGTAGTTTTAGAAAGCACAACAAAATTGTACCAGAATATTTGTACTTTTGGAGTTCTGAATACATAGATTGTAGAACAGCTCGGTTGCTTGCTTGTTCTACTAAACCCATGGCCACCAGTACATGTCAAATTTACAGATAATCACTGCTATGTATATGCTTATCTGTACATTTACGAACAGAAGATAACTTAGATAAGAGCTCAAATCACCAAGCTGGAGAAATATATTGTAGTACATTATGAAAAAAAAGAAGGAAAAAACACAAGTAGTAACAAAGTTGCACAAATAGGCTGTACCAAGTTATTTTTATATCTTGCAACCACAAGGCCTGCCTGTTTTAACCAACCACAAGGCTGAGCCTGCCTGTTTTAACCAACCAGAGCTTGCACCTGCAATAGCAAAATGTGCCCAGAAAAAAAGGCACAGGCCTTGGTCTTCAACCAAACGTTTAAAATGCTGCAACCAAACATTCTACGTCAACATCAGTACTCGAACAGTCACGAAACATGCATGACCAAGACCACCAGGTGCCTGCAGTTGCATATTTGGATAACCAGCAAGACCAGCATGTAGGAGGCCATGTTAGTGGTGGTCTGGTGGAAAAGTTGGGAACTCTTTCAGAAAACTGTGAATTGCTCTAATGGCGCAGTTTCAGAACTTCAAATTGATGTTAGTAACCCTTTCAGACTTATCATCAGTTTATTTCCAACCCCCCTCCCCCTTCCAAATTAATGATCAAATTAACCTGCATGGGTAATTATTAGTTGGTTGAGGATTATGCTGTCAGGGATTTGATTGAACTACTCAAAAAGATGCAAAGTGTATATACTAGAGATACTGTTGGTCCGTTAAGGAAAAATAATAGAACTTGCAGAAACTATAGGAAAAAGCACATTCTTATAGTGAAGTCGTCTTATAATCGATATAGTTTAAAAACGAAACCAACGTTCATGTGCTTTCATATATTTGCAAATGACTCTCCCAATTCAGGAACACTGGATTTGCATTTAACAAAAAAAGAAAGAAGAAGACCTTAGAAGGTATTGAATGCTTCGCACAATGCTCAAACTGTTTTGCAGCATAGCACAGTGTTGAATGAAAAAGGGACTTAAACAAAACAGCATGCTATCATCACAAAGGAAAAAAAAAAGCAGCATGGGAAGAAAAATGGAAAAAAGGGACTTAAAGAAAACGGCATGGTATCATCACAAGAAAAAAAAACAGCATGGTAAGAAGAATGAAAATAAATCCTTCAAGAAAACAGCATGGTAAAAAGAATGAAAAAAAGGGGACAAGAATGAAAAGAAATCCTTCAAGAAAACAGCATGGTAAAAAGAATGAAAAAAAGGCATGGTAAGAAGAATGAAAAGAAATCCTTCAAGAGAACAGCATGGTAAAAAGAATGAAAAAAAGGGGACAAAAAGCAAAAAAATACGCTAGAGGGAGGGCTTGAACCTCCGACCTTGTGGTTAACAGCCACACGCTCTAACCAACTGAGCTACTCCAGCTAAACATCCATTCTTTAATAATTTAAGGTAATAACTTTTGTTTACTTCAAAGAACCAAACCTATCCTTGCAAATAAAAGTTCAGGCAACTATTAATATTTTGGCTAAAGTAAGAAATGATAAGTATTGCAATACTAGTTTTCACGAAATCATTAGTATTACAACAATATATATATATATATTTAAAAATGATGGTAAAAGTTTTGTCCTACTTTTTTTTGAAAGGAGATATTGCCCCGCGAGTGGACCTCCAGCGGCGAGAGACAGAGACAGAGACAGAGGGGAAGGAGGGAGCAGGGAGCAGGGCTAGGGAAAATGTTTTTCAAAATCATATTTTCAAACAAGAAACTCTAGCAAACTTGTTCATCCTTGGAGCAACATAAAGTCTCTTTTTTTTTATCTCGCAAAAAGAATGTAGTGTTCTTTTAGACGCATGATATAAATCGGTGTACCTCTAGATGACTTATCCACCGACGAGGTGAGAGGTGCGTGAAAAAGACCATTACGTGATGCACTATATTGTTATGTAGCAAGAAGTAATACCCCTAATGGATGCACTAGATACTTAATAATCAAACAAAAGGATTTCATAGAGAATCATGGGTCAGTGGGTCACACCTTGGAACGGGAAGGATGTTTACTTGACCATATATAAAAATGGTTGGGATTTGTATCGGACCCTAGCATGATCAATCAGGCAATAGTTTTTTTTCTTTTTTTATTAAAAATAAAAAATTGCAAGGTATACGAATTAACTAGTACGAGCCACAACCACAAGCCCACAACAAGTTTGGAGCGTGCGGCAAGGCAGACCATAAGTCTACGCCGGGGGCCCAACACCCAGTTCCCCTTTTGATCCACGTCACGCGGTGCACGTCCCCCGGCCCGCCTATGGCCCACCACATATACATTTTCCCAGAGGTGGGCCTCCGCCGTGCCTCCATCTGCCTCTGAGCGGACGCGACGCGAGCTCCACGAACGCCGCCTTGTGCCTGCTACTGCCGCTCTGCGGCGTGCTCCAGCGCCTCCATGCCGGCAGCTCCTCCGCGCCTTGCCGCCTTGAACCTCCTGCTCCATGGCCTGGTTGTCCTTCAGCTCCTCCAGCAGTGGTGGTCCGGACTACTAGCTGCCGCTACCTCTTCTCCTGCTACAACCCTCCGCGCCGCCTGCATCCAGGCAGGGACCGGCAGTGGCAGTGGCAGTGCTCCACGATGTGGCCCGCGGCGCCACCGACCGAGCCGGTAGTGATGGTCGGCCGGGTCCTTCTGGTTCTGGGCGAGGCCCATGGTCACCTTCATACCATTCAATTTTAGTTTCCTCTATACTGCTTCTTGTGATTAACTTTTCAATTTAGATGAATCTGTTACAGGGAGCCCCATGTAAATGCTGCTGCTCCAGGGACTGTTGCTCAGGGATCATATATTCTTGGTGGGTTTGTGTGTTTGGGGCATTTGGATCCTTTATTTTAGAGAAATTTGAATCTACTTAATAAATTAGACAATTTTGTTTGTAATTTGACCATTCCACAACTTTATCAAGCTCATAAATAAGCTTATCTCAAATTCATAGGATAGGAGATGGAAATTGATTTTATAGATCACCATGCTATATTTCTAATCTCTAACTTATAACACACTCTTCAACTCATTTCTCTACAATAGAAATACAACATATAAATTATGTCCATTGTATGACTAACAATAATATACAATTATATTACATATACCACCATATTAGTTTAATTAATCTATGACTAAATTGTAATTATTAAAATGAATTCAATTCTAAGGATGCAAACGGGCCTTAGTTAAATCTCCATAGCTGCACTGCAATTTTTAGATAATGTTGGATTATTATACGGCAATGCTGCATTGTTATTAGTTTTTTTTCCTTTTTTGGTCTTAACAAATCTGTCTGTGCTGTAACCTTTACCTTGTGCTATTTTCAGATAATGTTGGAAGTTCAAATGTTTCTCTGCTCAGCTGCAAGCAGGTGGAACAAGGGAAGGCACCATTGTTGAAAGCTTTGTTTGACTATACAAGTCGAATTGAAATAATGATGGAGGCAAAACATGACTAGATAAAGGGACTTAGCGCCCGGACATATGATCAAGGGCACTAGTGTTGGGCGGTACCTGCTCAGTTAGTGAGCGAGCACCCTAGCGCGTTGGGTTCGCGGGCAAGCGCCCCAGCACCGGGCCTGCGCCGCCCCCGGATGTCGCCGCGCCACCTCGGACGTCACCCGCGCCGCCGGTTGCTTCCCACACGCAACCAATGTGCAACACCCGATCTACTTTTGAAACATCCGGATGCAACTGTTGCAACATGCAAAGAAGACAGATAAAACACTTGAAACATGTGTTTGAAACACTTGCAAAAATACCTGAAATACTTGAAAATCATTGCAAACATTCAGATGAAACACTTGCAACAGACGTACGATACACCTGAAACCACTTCAAAAATACGCTTACAACATGCATGTATATGCAAATATCTGGATCTACTTTTGCAACATCCAGATGAAATACTGCAACATACGTCTTATACAGATGAAACATTTGGAACATACACTTGAAACATACATGTATACCCAACAACATGTGCAACATCCAGATCTACTTGTGCAACACTGATACGAAAGACTTGCAACATACCTCTGAAATATTTGAAACACATGAAACATATGTTTTGCAACATGCGTTTTGTGCCCTTCTTCTTTCATGCGACGCATAGCAGAGCGGGAAACGGTCGGGTCCGGCCAGTCGGTGGCAGAGGATGGTGGCGTGGCCTGGCAGCGACCAGCTGCGTTTGCGCCTGGCCTGGGTCCGGCCAGCAACGACCTTCTCTCTTGGTCGCCTGGCCTAGGTGCGGCGGATGATGGGGCACGGCATGGCGCGGCAGGGGACGGAGGTGCCGCGGGGGATGGGGGCGGCAGCGTGCCGAAGTGGGGCGCGGCACGAGATGGAGGCTCCGCGAGGGATCACGACGGTCGAAGCAAGTGGGGAATTTCTATCGTGCTCAGTAGAGAGTAGAGAGATCGGTAGAGCAAAGAGGGGAGCAGGCCGGTTGCGTCTTGGGCCAGACTGCTGCACAGGCCTAGGAAACGTGGTGCCTGAACAAACGGACGCTCGGTCGTGAGCATTACCACTAGATAAAATGCAAGAACAGCCTGCTGTAGAGCTTTTTTTTAAGACGTCACCGGAGGGGTTAGAGCCCCACCTGAAAGGTTTTTAATTGATTCCGTCAAGCCGGTGGATGGAGGGTGCCTAAGCACCTACAGCGGTCCGAGGACCAAAGTCATT